AGTACTTCAGAAATATGATCACTTTAATGTAGTAAATGTGGTGACCTGTTTACACACAGCAGGCAGCCTCAAAGCAACAATGTAAGAACCAGATATCCACTTTTAAAAGGTGCAAATATAGAAACATAGAAAATAAGTGCAGGAATTGGCCATTCACTGTAATAACAGCTGTTCATCAAACTCAGTACCCTGTTCCCACTTTCTCCCTTTCATGCCTTTAGCCCTGAGAACTAAATCTAACTCATTGAAAACATCCAATCATATGGCCTTAACTCCTTTCTGTAACAGAGAATTGCACACTCACCATTCTATGGTTAAAGAAATTTCTTCTGTCCTAATAGTTTACCCTGTATCCTTGGACTATGACCCATGCTTATCGATTCCCTGAGAATATCATTTCTGCATCTATCCTATACAATTCTATTTGAATTTTATAGGTTTCTATGAGATCCTCCTCATTATTCTAAACTCCACTGAATAAAGTCCTAATCGATCCAGTCTTTCTTCATATGTTGGTCCTGCCATCCAGGAATGAGTGGTAAACCTTTATTGCACTCTCTGCATAGCTAGAACATCCTTCCTCCCTCTGGTAAGGAGACCAAATACTCAAGGTGTGTTCACAACAAGGCCTGTATAATTGCAGCAATACATCTCTACTCCTGTACTCAAAACCTTTCACTATAAAGGCTAGCATATCACTTGTCTCTTTCACTGCTAAACAAAGATACCAAGGTCTCATTGGCCCCCCCCCCCCCCCGCCTTCCCAATCTATCACCATTCTTGTATTTTGTCTTTCTGATTTTGCTACCAAAGTGGATAATCTCAGATTTATTCACATTTACACTGCATCTGCCATGCATTTGGCCACTTGCTCAACTTATCCAAATCACACTGAAACATCTCTGAATCTTTCTCACAGTTCACCATCTTGCCCAGCTTTGTGTCATCTGTGAACTTGGGGATATACTTTGTTCCATCATCTAAATCATTCATAGATATTGTGAATGGTTGGGGTACAAGCAGTGTTCCCTGGGGTACCCACTAGTCACTGCCTCTTACTTGGAAAAGTCCCACTTACTCCTACTGTTTACTTCCTGTCTGCCAGCCATGTCAGTACGCTACCCCAATCAGATGAGCTCTAATTTTACATGCTAATCTCTCGGGGGACCTTTTGTTAAAAGCCTCCTGAATTGAAGCTGTTCTGAAGAAGAATCATACTGGACTCGACATGAACTCGTTCTGTCTCCACAAATGCTGACAAACTGCTAAGTTTCTCCAGAAATTTCTGTTTTTGTTTCTAATCAAGCTGTTGCTGTGCCCTTACCTAGTGACCATGTTCATTGCAAGTGCAAACAGGTTCCCATTTACTGCAATTTTCTGTAACATTAACGAGTTTCTACTTTTACAAAGATTGTCATAATTACATCACTCTGTAGCTAAATGGCTCATACCTCCTCTGTGTGTCTGTGATGTGCTAAATTAAACTTATATTCAATTTGTTTTGTTTCAACCCTTAATGTCTCAACTAAATGTCACCCAAAACCAGCATAGAAACAGGAGTAGGTTATTCAGCCCATTGCTCCAGCTTGCCATTCAATACGATCATGGCTAATTGAACACTTCAATGCCTTTTATCCAACCCATCCCTGTTAGCCACTGCTAATCAAGAATCTATCAATCTTTGCCTTAAACATACTCAAACACTGACCTTCCACAGACCTATTTCGTTTCAGAATTCCAAAGGTTCACAACCCTCTGAGTAATAAAAAAAATTCTCCACCATCTTGGTCATAAATGGCACCCTTTAATTTTGTAGCTACTGTCTATCCCTTTATTTGTCAATTAGATTGCCTCTCGTTCTTCGAAACTCTAGAGAATGCAGGCCCAATCTCTCTTCACAGACTATTCCACCATCCTGGGAACAAGTTTACTGTACCTTCGTTAAGTGCCTTCTTTGGCAATGATATATTTCCTGAAATAAGGAGACTGAAACTGCATACAGTACTTCAGGTGTAGTCTAACCAAGCTCCTGTGCACCTGAAGCAAGACGTCTCTACTTCTGTACTCGAATCCTCTTGCGATTAAACTGTTACTGCGTAGAATTTGAGATTGAATCATTTCAGAAGATGTTCAGACTGCTGACTAGTGGATTTTTTAAAGCCTATCGTGAAGGAGAAAAGAGGTGTGAAAAGTTAGGGGCAGAATTCCAAAGCTGAAGGAAAGGCCTCCAGTGTTAGAGGGAAAGAAAACATCAACAATGCACAGAAAGCTGGAATTGGAGGCATTTGGCCTTTTGGGGCTGGAGGAAGTCAGACAGGGCCAGGGCCATTGAAGGTGGATGGGAATGTGAAGCACTGGTGTTGTTGGACTGAGCGCCGATGGATCAATGAGGAAAGGGGTAATGAGCCATTGGGATTTGTGTGAGTTAGAATATGGGCAGCAGATTTCTGAGTGAGCTGAAATTTGTGAAGGGTCTAAGGTCATTCAGGTATGTTCTAATAGTCCAAGTCTATTAGCAACCGTAGCTCGGATGTGTTTCAACAAGAGATAATCTGAGACTGGCCCAGACAGGGACAGCATTACAGAGATGCATGTACAATGGTATATAGAATAAATAAGCTTTATCACTACTTGCTGTTTCCACAGATGTTACAAAGTGTTCCATTGTTAGTTTAAAATTACTTTTTTTTTTGGAGAAGCTTAAAGTGGTCCGAAGCCTGAGGCTCAATTTGTTGGTTGGTGCGTGAATTATTGTGGTTGTACATCAGGCCATTTCTGTAAATGGTTTTACTGGCTTTTGTGCACTAGTTATGCAAATCTTTGCTTCTGCAATATTGATCAAGAATTCTGTTTTCAAGGGACATTCCATAGATCAGGCAAGGACACATTCTTTAAGCCCTACCCATTCCAGAGTGTTGGTGGAGAAGCCAATAGCCAACATTTTTTTTTAAAACTGAAACAGCATGAATTATGAATTTGTGGACTAATGATGAAGTAAAATATGTAACCATGTAGAAGACCTGACTGAAGTAAAATGAAGAACTGTGCATGCTGGAGACCTAAGACAAAAAACAAGTAGTGGAGAATTGCAGAATCTGTGGGGAAGAGAAACCGGTAACGTTTCGAGCCGGGTGATCCTTCTCCAGAACTGGACAGTTCAGCCAAAGGATCTGTTTTTCTTTCCACAGATACTGCCAGGTCTGCTGCGTTTCTCCAGCACTTCTTGTTTTTGTTGTGTACAATATAGGGCAGCACGGTGGCTCAGTGGTTAGTAATGCTGCCTCACACGCCAGGAACCCAGGTTCAATTTCAGCCTTGAGTGAGTGTCGGTGGAATTTGCACGTCCTCCCTCCATCTGCTGGGTTTCCACCAGGTGCTCTAGTTTCCTCCCACACTCCAAAGGTATGCAGGTTAGGTGGACTGTCCATGGTAAATTGCCCAGAATTGTCCAAGGATGTGCAGGATGGTGGATTAGCCATGGCAATAGGGTAGGAAATGGGGTTGGCTCTGGATGGGATGCTCTTCGGAAGGTCAGTGCAGACTCGATGGGCTGAATGGCCTCTTTCCACACTGTAGGGATTCTATGAATGCCTTGGCTTCTTTGTTTTTCATTAAAACAACCATATGTGCTTTGTTTTTGAATTAACCTCTTCCTCTCACAACCCCAGTTTGCAGCTTTATGATAAAGCACAAACTTATTTGATTGCAACTGTCTTAAAATAAAACAACTTGGATGTCTTTTGTTCATGAAGGGAGCTACAGATGATGCATTTAGTGCAGAGTGCAAGATCTCCCTGATAATGAATAATAGCCCACTGGATGTCTGGAATTTCACGCAGGAACTTGCTGTAATTGGAGAGCTGTTTCAACTCCACATCTTCACTGGGGAGCTGGAATCTGCAAGTAGGGCATGTTGTAAACCATTGTATGATCTGATTGAGAAGAATGAGCTTTGCAGAGTCTAAACCAAGAAGTGTCACTTTGCATGATTTGGCAAATTTAATATTCAGAAATTGGAGTTTTGAGAGGAAGAAAAGATTTCTTCTCAAGGAAATGTTCAAAAACCTAATTTTAGTTGAATTAAAATTAAGTTTTATTGTCGAGTGTACTCAAGCACAGGGATACTGGAGTGCAGTAACAAGTTTACAATGTAAGATATAAGGAACCTAGATACAAAATCTTTGGTAAAAAGTAGGAAATAAAGAAATAAGTTAAAAGTTCAACATTACAGTTCTTCTCAGTAAAATGTAGTAAATAAGGAATAAAGTTTAAACCTCCAAATTACAGTCCTTTAGCCATGAGCCTGCAGTCGCTCCTCGCTGGGCTTTCGCCATGACAGCTAGATCTCTCAATCCTTGCACCCCCATGCCGCTGTGTCACTGCCAACTGCCATCCGGGCTCACCAGCCACCGCGCCACAGGCTGCCAGAGTCCCACCTTGGTGCCGCTCTGAGCCAAAGTGTTTTCATTTTCAATTTTCCATAATTTAATTTGAGAGAATGTGATGCCACATTTGTACCTGTTTGTTTGGCAGCAACTAAGACTTATCATGTTTCAAAATTCACTTTTAGTGGAATGAATTATCTCAATTTTCTTTGAGTTTGGAGCGTAATTGTCTCTCTCGGTACACTGTTTTGAGTGTTTCAGTACTAAATTTCTCAGCAGGATGCCAGTATAGCACAGCTTGGAGAGGAGTAGAGCAACTCTGTCAGCAGCCCCTTGATGTGCATATGTGAACCCTGGGAGTTGCTAACTGATTTACTGTCTAATACAGAGAGTGCTGATAGCCTCACCACTGTTCTCGTGTGTTATTTTGTGTATTACAAAATATAATGTCTTGTAAATGGCTGCAGCTACTGTCTTTTGTTTATATTGTGATTGCTTATAGCTGTATCTTTATTTATTTAGCCTTTACTGCAGTATTCAATTTACCATATATGGCTGTGTATTTATTTATCCCTCTACAGTGAGTGAGTAAATCTTTGTACTTCTTTCTTCTAGAAAACCAATTTTACTTCAGTTTCTGACCAGCTCTTTTTCCAACTTGCTGCTCTAACAATGTGCATCTCACTCTTCTTTGGAACAGCATAATCTTGAATTCACTGTGAGTAAGCTATGAAGATCTGCTAATAGATCCCCATTCAATCTATCCATTCTGTTATGCATTGTCTTGTCCATTGCTTTATCTAAATGTTTGCTTCTGTTACTGTTTGAGCATTTGTATAATTGTGAAATCAACTTAATAACTGTTGAAATATAGTCCACATATAACAGCAAAAGAGTTATGTGCACAGGTTACTGTGAGTGAAGGAAAACTGAAAGAACTGTGGATGCTGTAAATCAGGAACAAAACCAAAGTTGCTGGAAAAGCTCAGCAGGTCTGGCAGCATCTGTGAAGGATAAAACACAGTCCATGTTTCGAGTCCAGTGATCCTTCCTCAGAACAGTTCTGAGGAAGGGTCACTGGACCAGAAATGTTAACTCTGTTTTTTTCCTTCACAGATGCTGCCAGACCTGCTGAGCTTTTCCAGTAGCTTGTTTTTGTTCGTGTATTGTGAGTGAAGCTTGCTTGAGAACAGAGCAAACAAAGCACTGTTGTGTTAATTTCCAGTCATTGACATTAACACACAGTAACAGTGACATTGCTGGATGTTAATTGTCTTTTGAGGATCTATAAATAAAGAACAGCTACAACTCTGGGTTGTGGTATGAGGACTGAGACCCAAAGAAGTCAACAAATGCTCTCCACTCAGAAAATCTGGTTTGGTTTTTGTCTTGCCAGCCGGCTTGGATTCTGTTCATATCCTGAATCATTGATTTATAGTCAGCAAGATACATAAACTAATTGAAGGAAAAAGGAGGAACAAACAAATTATTTGGTTGACAACCTTTTGTTGCCATCTTGGGTTTCCCACCAAACTGAGCATAGGTTGCAATGGTTGCAAGTTAACAATTGATATTACACACACACCAGTGTTAGCTCATGGTAAATATTGCCAAAAGGATTTTATCTGGGGCCTTTGTGAACATCCTGAGCGTTCATTTTCTGCATGGTCATGGCTGAGCCTACTCATGGATTACAGTAGTTTTCAATGTACACTTGTGGGTAAAATTTGATTATTGCAATGCATAATTAGTTTTTCCATTGCCAATGGGTGTGGGACTTTGCTAAATCTCTTCTCTCTATGAAATTAGTATCTTTTAAAATGAAATGTCAAGGTAATATAAAACATGAGCTGTATTGAGAAGGTGGTGGTGAGCTGACTTTTTGAACCACTGCAGTTCATGTGATGAAAATTCTCCTATAGTTCTGTTAGAGAGGAGTTTTGTAACTTTGATCCAGAGACAGTGAAGAAGAAACTGCCAAATTGTATTATACAAATTCTAGTGTGTGTGACTTGCAGATTTGTGTTGTTCCTACCCACTTCCTATCACTGTGTAAAGTGGTAGAGTTTACAAGTCTTGTTGATGTTGCTGAAGAAGCTTTGCACGTTACTTAAGTGGATCGTACTGATGCTATGAGCTATGCACACAGTCCAGTGTTGGGTGGATTACTGATTTTTACTCTTGCTTCTCTAATATAGAACACCGTATTTATCTGTTTTAAAAAGATGATCAAAGGATGGTTCTCCCTCTGGGCTAGGCTGCCACACCAGGAATATAACCCAAAATTATCTTTCTAATGTTCGCTTCTGTTGAAATTCAATTGAAACTGAACTTAAACACACTAAATTCATTGTATACATCAAGATGGTAAAGTTACATAAGATAGAGACACACAAGGACTGTTCAGTCTGTGCTGAAGTTTATGCTCCATTCAAACCATATTTCTTTGCTCTTTGGAATCAATCTCTAGTCACTTCTACTTCAGATTCCTCTCAAATGCATCTTTACTATTTGCTTCAACCGTATCTTGCAACTTATCCCCTTCTAGTTTGCAGTACAGTTGAAATACTACTCTCCAGAATGTTCTCAAAGGTCATAAAACTCAAAGCAATGGGCCTGGTGCAGGAAAGTGGGCCTAGTGTAGGTTGTATATTTTTGGTGATACAGACTTTTCTGTACTGTATGTTTCTATGACAGGAGATGGCCTTGTCAGTGTTACTCCTATTCCATGAATGAATACATAAAGTTTACTGAATTATTAATCTAGAACACTGTATACAATGGAAACTACTGTACTGTCCTTTTGTAAAGACACGTGTTTTTAAGAGGAGCAACATGCTTGTACCAACAGTGTGTCTGTTGTGACCCTGTCTCTGTGATCTGTTATCTATGGTCAAATGACAGATCCTAAGGAGACTAATGCATGTGGAAAAACCCATCTGCTCTCCTGTTGAGCATTATGATTTTAAGTGGAGGAGGTGGCAATCACATGGAATGAAATCTGAAATAAAAGCACTAAGCAGCGTGGTCTCATTTTATCTGGTGAAGGTTGAATATCCAGATTTGAATTGGTGAATTCAACTCGCCCTCATTATCTTTCAGATCTTGATCTATGTCTATCACTTCTTTTCATTTTCATAAAATTGTTTTGAGTGTTGAATGCAATTAATTTTTAAGACTTCTGATGGTCCTTTTATAAAGCTGCAGACTTTGCAACAGAATTCTGACTGACTTTTTGCAAAGTCATAGTGATAAATTCAAAATTTCCTATTTCCACCTTTCTTTAAATTTCATATTCCATAGCTTTGTAAACAGTTTTGATATCTACACATGAACAACTTTTCGTATTTTCTGCTGAAGTTATTAACTAAGATGACTCGAATTATACCTGAGCATTATAATTCACAATTGTACATTCCTTAACTGCAGTACGGTACTAAATGTTCTATTATTTTGTAATGGTTTCAGGAACACAAGATCATGAACAAGGTGTTGCAATTGATTAGCAAAATATCGATCTTACTTGCCAAATTGATTTTTTTTAAAATTTCTCTTGCAAAATATTTTCACCTAACAATTATTTTTGTTTGTGGATGAAACTTATTTTTTTTTTAATGCAAGGAAAGAAAAAAGTTTGCATCTTCTTGGTAGCTTTTAACATCCTTTTGTTCCTTTATCAGCCTTTCACTTATAACTGATCTTGAATCTATGACTTTGTAGTGACAGCCACGACTCTCAAGATTTTATGTTACAGTTTCTCTCTACAGCCAGAGATTAAGACCTACGTGGATGGTCAGCTCAGTGAGAGGTGCTGTGCTGCACTGTCAAGGTGATATTTGTTGGATGAGCTGTTAAAGCAAGGCTCTGTCTACCACTCTGTGCTATGTGCCCATGATGGAGAGGAACTGATTGACCAGCAGCGGGTGGGTGGGGCAGTGAATAGTAAATCATTAGGAGGTTGCCTTAGTCATATTTGACCTGTTACCCTGTAATTTCATTGTGTCCAAAGTCAATATTGAGGACTCCTGGACCATCTCCTTTCTAGTTGTACTGTCCCAGACAGCACAGTGCCACCCCCTCTGTCAGGTGTCTCCTGCTGGACATGCCTGAGGAAGGTGATGGTGGTGTCTAAGACATTGTCTGTCTATCTGTTTGTCTGTGAGCTATGATTCAATGAGCAGAATTATGTCCAGCTGTTGCTTGACTAGTCAGTGGGACACCTTTCCTGATTTTGCAGCAAACTCCCAGGTGTTAGTGAGGAGGACATTACAGGGTCAATCTGTGAAGAAAGGACTGGATTGGTTAGGACTATATTTAGAAGAATAAGGGGGAATGTCAGAAACCTATACATCTTGTGGCTAGAAGTAACTTAATTATATGATCCAGACTTTGCTGCATTTTTTGACAACAAGAAGATCATGCTTTAAATGGTGAATCATATTTTGTTTTATTTTTGGAAAAGATTGTTAACTGTGGCTCAGTTGGTATCCTGTCAGCATTTTAAGCCCAAAGGTTACGGTTCAAGTCTCGCTGTAGAAAGCTGAACATATAGATTCAGGCTAAGACCCAATGCAGTTCTGGGGCTCCTATCTTGTTAAGTAGCCTAAGATATATTATTAAGTGCCTTCTGGAAATCCAAATAAACTTCATCCACTGCTTCCCCTGTATCTGTCCCCTTTATCTATCTTTATAACCTCCTCAATGAATTTTCATAAATTTGTGCGGCATGTTTTCCCCTTCATGAAGACACGATGAATCTGCTTGATCATATTATGGATTTTTGTTTATAATAGTCTCTAATGTTTTTCCCAATAACAAATATTAAGCTGAATGTCCGAAAGTTACTTTTTAGCCTCCTCCCCATTTTGAAAATGGTATTACATTGGCAGTTTTCCGATTCTCTATGCTTTGCTTTGTTTTCCAGAATTTAGGAAGATTATGACCAGGCCATCCACTATCTCTGTAGCTACGTCCTTTCATATCCTCGGACATTTGCCATGTGGTCCAGGAGACCTATCGGCCTTTGGCTCCATGAGTTTCCCTATCACTCTTTCTCTAGTGATTGTTATTGTATTCATTTCCTCTTTCAACCAACCACCTCCCCTCCCCCGCCACTTCCTTACATCCTTTGTTTGAGTGCATATGGAATTATATTATGCATTATAAAAACAAATTGATTGTTCCACTCCTTTGCCATTTCCTGATTCCCCATTATTAATTCCCCATTATTATTTCCCCAGTTGCTTTCTCCAAAGGGCCTACGTTCACATAGACCTCTATAATCCCTTTATATGTGTGTGTAAAAACAAAAAGAAACTCTTTTTGTCAGTCTTTATTACTTCCAAGTTTACTTTAAAGTTTATTTTCCCTATTTTTTTTTTCAGTTAGCATTTGTTTTTTAAAACTTTCCCAACTCCTTGGCTTACCACTAATTTTTTGCCACAATGTATGATTTTTCTTTCGATTTGATGCTATCCTCATCTTCATCTGTTACCCATTGTTGGTTTATTCCCTTTTTAGATCTCTTATTTGTCCTGAGAATATATATTTGTGAGCTGTGGACTATTTCTTCAATGTTATCCACAGTTCATCAACCATTTTTGCTGCTAAACATATTTCCCAGTTTGCTCCAGCTAGTGCTGTCCTCATTTCTTTGTAATTACCCTTATTTAGCTTAAGTTTCCAACCCAAGATTCTACCTCGAATTGAATGCTAAAT